GCAACAAGTGGGGTTGGGGCAACTAGAAAAAATGTCAGTCACTGCGGTACCTAATCTGGCATAAAAGAGCTAGATTCACAAAATCAAATAAGATTTGTGGACAGAAAAACAATTAAGTGTAAAGAAGAAACGAAATGAAGCCGAGAAAGCTGTAGTAGGCGTTGCAATACCTGTGCCACACCAGTGGGTGGCAGGCTGGCACTGCCTCGCAGGAACACAGAAGAGAAAGAATAGGAGGAGCAGTGGAGGAGCAACAAGTAGCAAGTATAAAATCCCCAATAAGCTCAATGGCCTCAAAAAAAGAACCACGGCACAGAATCTGCTAAAGTTGTGGTTTTTTGCTAACACATGTATGTTAAAATATTAACTAGCAACACCAACATTACCACAAAATGCCTGAAAAAACATAAAATGAATCATCTGGTTTCTTTAACCCTTTGGAGGATCTAACCTGCCATATAAAACTGTTATATTAGGGGACAGTAGCCTCATGGATCCAGTATGAGGCTACTAATTTAAGAGCAACACATACGTCCATCGGACGAAACCTGACAGTTAAATGGTTAAAAAGGGAGGGAGGTTTGCATTGACTCGCATCTGTAAACACGCCAGTGTGTTTTCAGTTTTGCGTTTAGCGGTATCACGATAGAAACGCTCCCAGGGGAGCTTCAAACTTATCCTCTTTGGGAGAGCTGGTTTCAAACATAGTCGCTTCCATCATAATGAAACCCCCTAACATAATAAGACGACTGGCATCTCAGTTTTCTTTGATACTTATAACAAGAGCAGATATGTAGAGAGCAACGAATAATAAAACCTGGGATGAGTTTTACACACCATGTTGGGCAGAGATAGTGCATTACAAGTCCAGAGTCAGGTGGAAAACACAAATAGAAAAGCAATTAAAACCTCGACTCATATGAGCTGTGAAAATTTTACTTTATGAGATACAGAATCAAATAGATACATAAATATGCACAAGGAGCAGCTGCTTTTACAACACACTAAACCAATTAAATTTCACTGGGATCTTTTTTTTTTTTTTTATTGGTTTCACCTGAATGCGTCATGTAAATGGAAAAAAAACAAAACTGAACCATTTGAGAAGAAGTCAGCCCTAGAAACGCCTTTTGAATTTTTGAAGGAGCGAAGTCTACAAATATCACCTTTAATTCCAACAAAAACACCCAGCAGACTTCCATTACAGCTCCGGTCTGATGCGATCCCCCCCCCCCCCCCCATGTTGGGAATGCACTTCAGCAGCTTGTTAAAAAGGATAAATCTCATGTTTTTTCCTCAGAACACATACGAGAAAAGACAAAGCCATTTCCCCCTTACAGACATATCTATTTTCTTTACTGAATCAGTAATCAAAGTGTTTTTTTCTCTCTCTTTTTTTTTGCCTGCATCACTGTCAGTCCCTGCAATCTCACACTTCAGTCTGAACTGATGAATATTAATGGTTGATTACAGATTCTCTTTGTGGGAAAAAAACACACACACACAATGCTACAGTGGATAAAAGTGTTGGACAATAGGATGAAAGATCAGTCAGATTAGTGCATCCACACCCAATTTCAACCCCGGAATCCATCATTAGCAATCCAAACAGGATTCATGTTAAATGATCTGAAGTAAAGGAGTTTAGAGAAGTAATTTCTGGAAAAAAAAAGAAAAATCCCAGTGTAAACTGCCATCAATCTGCCTGGCACTACAAAGGGAACACATCCGGATATCTCTTTGGTGCAAACGCAGCAATTTGCACGCTGTTTGTCTTTTGTTCTTACACAGTGTTTTGCCTTTAATGGCCTGGTGTAATTGAGTTGCATCGTTGTATGTTTTAATAATTTAAGCAGCTTTGAATGAAGTGGCAAAAATGGTAGGAGGATGTGACTGATGGCTAGAATCCGCTACAGACTAAGGACCCGGCTGCAGGTCTTTGGATATTTCTTATAACTGAAATTATTATTATAGTTTTTTAAATTTTTTTTTGCAAAAAGCCCTGTAACATAATCAGCAGCTGGATACGATGTCGGTATATTTTATGAGGCCTAACGGTCAAAAACTCCTGACTCATGCAGTCATTCTAGTTCAGGCGCGTAGAAAAGAATAACCTGCCAAAATATTGGATAACAATGTCTGATTCAACAGTTTGTCTGTGATTAAAGTTAGGTTTAGCCATCAAGAGTACAGATAGTTTTAGGCTTTAGAGCATGACAGCAAATAATTGATGAAGCAGAAAAGGACTGAGAGCGGTGGAGCCTGAAACGACACCAGCAGAGGGATACTCCATGCTCCCAAAATAAATCTAACTCTAGATCGCTTGCTGTTCAGTTATTATTTCAGCTCGCATTGGAAGTTTAGGAGGAAAAAGTCAGATTTATGCAAAAAAAAAAACAAAAAAACACCCGAGGTCTGCCTACCTCCAGATGGGAGGTGTTTTTTGTAACAACCTTTGGATATATAGTGCAGGCAAAAGCACCAAAAACTCAATTATTGTTTTTTATGTCTACTTATGATATAATTTCATATAAGCTATGCTAGTTTTAAAGGTTTTTTAAACATATTTCTCCCCAAATAATTATAATTCTGGTTTCTTTAAAAAAAAAAAATAGAATTTTTCCTGGAAAAAATAATATTGAGGAATATTTTTCCTAGTTTTACTTCTAGTTTTCATGTGGAAAAAGATCTGCAAACACAGCCCAAAAAAAAAATCTGTTCTTAGAAGATATGCATTCATGCCATCAGAAAATACTGTTGGTTTGAATTCTTGCACACTAAAGATGGTGGAAGCTTGGACGCATTTAATGAGCGAAAAAAATACTTTTCAACAACTTGATATTCAGATACAGGACGTAGGAAGGACAAAATGAATCCCTGTTAAAGCAAAAACATATAACCTTTATCTGGAGACTTAATCAGACAGCATTGAAGGAGCAAATTCTGCTCTGTAAATCCTTGACCGAATAGCAGCCTGCTGTTGCTCGATATATTCTCCAGTCTTAGAAGTACCTCTGAATCCGTCTGCTTTCCCACATTTACCTATTCCTGCTTCTAATGATGGGATATTTCTGAAGCACCTTTGGCTCCTGATGAATAATCCTTAAAATCCCCTCCAACTCTGTGTTAATTTTAAGCTACAGCCGAGCAACAAGCTTTCACAGCTGTCTCTCCGGCTTCACTTTAACAGGTACTGCATGTCTGCCTCGACCGGCGCCGACAGGAGTGACAGAGGCTGACGAGCGCGTCGTTCCCTGAATCACAATGTCAAGAAACGGTGCGCTGAAGAAGTAAAGCAAAATGGAAAAAGGAGGCTTGGGGGAGGTGGGTGCTGTCACAGCTCCTGGTTGTCCTTCTCATTTCTCCGTAACCCACCCACCCACCTTCCTCACCCCACTTCCCCTTTATGCTAATCCTCCCTGCTGAGAGAAATCACAGCAGATGGAACGCCGGTAAAAATCAATGAGATGATCTCTTCCTCACAAACACCGTCTTTCTCTCCCTAACATCTTGAGTGTAGGTGAAGGGAGTCAAGTTATGAGAGTAAATTAAGGCTCAAAGACCAGTAGCATTAAAAACACATACTAATCCAAGATGGATAGAGTCCATACTCCGCCTCGGCTTCCTTAGATATTGTGTGCAACAAACACCACGGAGGAAATTAAGCAAAAACACCCAGAGAGCTATATGACCCATTTGAATCCTGCCTCCCACCTATTTGATTCATCTTTTAATTAAGCATGAGAAACACAGGAAAAAAGTGGGAAGAAAAGGAGACTGAGCTTTTGAAAGGGAGATTTATAGTCCTGAACTGATGCTGTGCCATCTTGGTCTAACTTATCTCAGCTCTGCCAGCCACACTCATGAGCACTTAACCTTGCGGTGAACGCAACCCATCATCAGCGCTTTGCAAAAGGGCTAGCTCTCGTCCCACCCCCTCCCCATCCCGCACCAAATCCTCATACTGTCCTTCATCAGGAAGGTACCTCCGACTAAACTGTCCTACAGTCAACTTTCCATTGCATTAGCAGAGACCTTGAGAGAAAGCATCCTTCCCCATTTCAGACCGTAAAGTGTTTTCATACATTCAACATTTCCAACTGGATCTTTGCTGCCTTAAAAGCTAAAGTTAAAGACTGCATTATTCGTTAAATTTCTTCCCTTTAAAAAGAAAAAAACTCATTATATAACAGTTTTTTTTAGGTGACATGCTAAGCTTGTGTAGCTCTGTGTCCCACAGCTGTGTGGAAGCCCTCCCGTTTTAAGCTCGCATGCGGGCCCCATGGCCCCAGCAAGTGTTTGTTTCCTTCTGCGTCCTAATGAGCAGTCATTGTTGAATCCTGCAGAGGGTGCCTAACTGACTGAACTGAATTATTAATGCGTATCTTAACAGCATTTTTATGTTGCACGATATTCAGAAAACACAGGTGTAAATGTCTGGTGGTTGCAAATCTTTTATTGATAGGGCAAGATGACAGAGTTTGGATTGAGGAGGATGTTTAAAGTGTTTACTTGGGCAGACAGTCATAAATGACATTGGAATTCCAGCTTTGTGTTCGTTTTGAGATCCTGTTAATTTTTGCTCGATGGCCTATTGGTGCCAAAGTGCATGGGTGATACATTGGGGTGGGGACGACGGAGGGGATGCCATACTGACTCTCCCCAGGTGAAAGTCAGCAAAGAGCTGTGAACAAGCTGCTTTGGCCAGGCTGGCATGCAGCCTTCCAATGCAGTGCACGGCCAGGAGAGCAGGTGGCCCCGAGCTGCAGAATGGAAAATGGAAGTTAGCCTACAAGTATTGGCTGTAACACATGCTATCAAAGGAAAGTGGAAGAAAGGGAGTAAGAGAAAGGTTATTTCTGCAGAAGACTTTCGGGAAGCTAGAAATGTGCTTCAAGGGCACACAAAGTCAGAAACGTAAAATCCATTCAAATGGACCAAATTAATGTTTGCCCGTGATAAGCAAGCTTAATATAACGCTGACAATCACAAACACTTACCCTGCCAACCAGGATTGGATCCCGTCCAGAGAATTCCTCCAGCACAAACATTTGATTCCAAACCCATCCTCTCTTGGCGCGGTTCAGTAATCTTTGTCCTTCGCCAAGACCGCTTGCCGCCGCCGACCCTCCGGTTTGTGCTGTTCTGGACTGTCCCCCAATAGGGGTCATGGAAATGGAGGGAATGCAAGTAATCCACACCAGCAACAAGGACATCAACAGATCCACGAGCATCTCCTCAGACCTCTTTGGCATCCTGTCCCTGCGTGTTTTGATTGTTTGATTGTTGTTTTTGTCTGTTTTACTGGACTCGTCTTCTTCTCCTATCTCCACCTCTTGCCCCGCCTCCCCCCTCTTCTCTCTCTTCAGATCAACAGCTCCTTCTTAGATAACAAGAAAAGGTTACTTGTGTCCTCTTAGAGCGGCAGAGCTTGCATTCATGGTGCAATAAAGGTCATTGGCATGGCTTGGCGTGCCTCCATTGCAGTTGGTGAGGGGGGTGAGGCTCTCTGCCCAGCATCCATTCGCCGTTACTCCTGAAAGGAGACCTAAAAGAGAGCAAACAGTGCTAGTTAGTCTCCTCAGACTTATGGAAACTTGTGAGGAGCTGGTGCAGAAGGGGAAAGTAAACTCAACATCTAAACATGTTACTTGTGCTAGATCTAAAGGGGGTGGAGGGGTGTTGAGGATATGGCAGGATTATTCTGTCATGGTGCAATGGAAAATGTCACTGTGTCATTTAAGCAGTCTTAACCCTCAATCCAAATCTCCCTTCTTCTTTTTTTACATTATCCTACCAGAAGAGAACAAAGGTACTCCGGGTCTCTCCAGCCTCACAATATCAGATTGCTGTGCATGTAATCTGCCATTGTGGGGATTATCGTGCTCAGATTTTGAGGAATCTCATGTTTCCATGTGATTGAAGTGAGAGGTTGAGCATATTCACAAACAACAGCCAGATTCCTCAGAAGCCCGCTCTGCTGTTCCAGGGTGAGGCAGGTGAGCCTTGTCAACAAGACTGCAGCCCTCTGATATCAAAGGAAAGCAGATGAGATTATTACCAAAAGGCTCTGAGAGGAGTGTTTACCCACTGCAGAAGATATGGAATTTTACACCAGAGCTGTTCTTTTATGATAAGCTTGAACAATAGGCTGATGTTTACAAGCAAATTCTATAATCAAACAATTTCGATGAAAAAAATAATAATATTGTCCTTCCCTGAAAAGTTGCACAGTTTTGTCTGTTTGATGTGATTTAGTTGTGACTAGACACCAAGAGAAAAAAAGCCAAAAACAGTTTCTGCAAAAAAGCAAGAACGATAAAATAATAATAATAATAAAATAAAAATAAAAACTGGTGCAGGTGGACATGGTATCCTTTTGCCCAGCAGCCTGTTTTCAGTTGCAATGAACTTTTACTCCACCTATTCCTTAATTTTGCAGCTGATCTAAGGACAATACGCTTAAAGCCCAAAACATCAGCAACACTGCGTGACAAGCGACCCAGACTATAAATTACAAATGTAAAAAAAAAAAAAAAAAAAAAACATTAAAGATAATATCAGTTATAAAAAAAACACATGTTTGGCTTTTTAATAAGATTCCCACCGCGTGTTTTTTTTTTTTTTTCTTTTGCCGTCATTTTTGGTTTGATCCTAGGCTTGCATTTCAGCACCACATGAGAGGGACAGCTCTCCGGCGGATGACAGCAGCGTCCAGGCGGCTCAGACGCAGACGGAACACCGAGCAGCAGTCGGAGGAGCTGTCCAAGGTGCTTAAATACTTAAAATGTATCTTTTTCCTTCATATCTCCAACAAAAAATACATAACACGAAAAATAAATAAAAGTTAAAGGCACCCGCTTGTATCTATAACACCTTCTCCGGCTCCCGCTGAAGTTTTCCCGTTTTCTATTCAGCCCCTCTTTGCGCATCAGCTGTATGACTGGAGCGCTTTAGCTTTCCGATTTAAGGGGAATCATCCACATGCAGCCAGCGTGCATATCAACCGAAGGCAGGACTGAGAAGAGTCAAAGAAAAAAAACATCTAACCTAAGTTGCAGAGCTCTTCTGCAGACTTGCTAAAGATGCGTTAAGGATGGAACCTCTCCAATGAGCAAAAGGTGACAAGAAGTGTTCTTCAAGCTGTCCCTTTCAAAAACACCATGCATTAAGGTGTCAGTAGCCTACCTGATGGGGCTCTTATTTAATGTCACTGTGACTGCTTTACTTACTCGTGAGACTCGCATCCTTTTCCGCTGCTGCATTATTTTATCGTTGTTTTTTTTTCTCTCTCCCCCAAAACGACAAAAAACTCCATCAGGTTTTCTCGGGGGGGTGAGTGTGCGAAACAGGCTGTTAAAATAATAATAATAATAATAAAATAAAATCCGTCCTGCAGTTTGTCAATGCAGAGCGACAGAGTGTTGGTGCGCGCAGTTAGAGGAGCTCCGACAGGCTTGCTGGTCGACTGGAAAAGTGATGAGGAGATGGAGGAGAGATCTGCACGCTGGAGGAAAGGAGAGAAGAAGAGAGGGGAGAGCCTCCCTCCGCTGCGCTCATTGGGTTGATGAGGAGTCGGGTCAACAGGCGCGCAAATGAATGCATGGCGCTCACCGCCGGCACGGACGCGGCGTAATGGTGAAAAAAAAAAAGGTTATTGTCTCACGTTTAAAGTGTCGGATATTAAATATTTATAATAATAATAATTTATATCTTTCACATTTGTGTTCTTTTTGTAGCCTAACATTTAGGAAAACGGCGCACGAGTTTCCTCTTGTTTATAGTAACGTGCATTAAGCCCCTATAAGGTTATTTTATAGGATTAACCAGCGAGCAGATGGATACAGTTATATAGCAGAGGGGAAAGTGAAGAACTTCTCTATCCCTGCTGATCTTTTTACACATTTTCTGCACATTAACGCTATAAAGGAAGCAATATGAAAGACCAAAAATAAAAAGAAGAAGAAGAAAAATTCATGTCTTGTAAAAGAGAAGGGGAGAGGACTGGGGCCTTATTAAGACTGTTAGTGAAAAGGTCATGGCTCATCAATGCATGGATGAATTAAGAGAATGTGAGAGCAGAAGAGAGTGTGAGTAACAGCAGAGGAGGCTCATTTAGCTGCCCATAGAGGGAGCCCTCTAGTGTTTGTGTGGCTACTCGGCAGCTGTGGAGTGGGTCTTAAGGGGTGCAGAAGAAGGGAAACACAGGGTGCTTTGAAAATATTCAGTTTGCCATGTAATAAAAAGCCCAAACATTGTGGATCTTTTTATTTCCAATGTGATGTACTAAAACTAAGTGTTGCAGATACTGGTTTTCCATGAAAAATAGTTGAAAATCTGCCAGATGGGTTGGAAATCTGTCAAGAGACTGTGACAGGTTATTGCATTACAGCGGTCAGTCTTTGTATCCCTGGTAGATGAACCTTTACCTCAGCCTCAAATGTTTTACAGCCTATGACTGGTTTAAAGCTAAACTTTGTCTGTTACTGTTTTTGGTTTTTTATTCATCTTCATTGACTCTTAACAATTTATGTATCCCTGATTTAAAAACAGAATCTGGCTGCATGAGGCTACCACCACCATGCTTCACAGAGAGGAGGTTTTTGTTGTTATGTTTCTTCCAATATAGTACTTGACCTACCAAAATACCAAATCCAAAATTAAAATATTAAGTTGTAACTTGTATTGTAGAGGTTTCTTCAACAAAATTTCCCTGCTTCAAGTTTCTTTTCACTTTACATTTATTATCCATCGAAGCTCTAAAACCTTTGCAGAATCAGCTGTTGTAAGACTTTACCTAAATACATTTTTATTTTTTATCTTTTCAAATTTTTATTCATTAAGTATCCTAATAAATAAATCCTCTCAACTCCCTTCAAATTTATCAGCTACCTTTTGGGCGGTTAATTGCATAAAAAACTCGCAAAATGTGAACAATTGCAAAGCATTTAAAGGCTCTCAGATGGCTTTGTATATGAGATTGTCGTGGTGCCATGCGTGTTATTGTGCTTCTCCACCTTAAAACCCCAGACCTGTTCCTAAGAGGCTTTTCTTTTCCTTCTGGAGGCCTTTTGACCCAAATGCCAGAAATTGTAATTAGCAAAGACATCAAGTCGACCATTATTTATTTCTGCACGATTTAATTCTCCTCCTACATCTGCTTTGATGCCGCAGCTGCATGTCAGACGGGAATTCTCCAGTCATCTTTCTTAAAAGCCCCTGCTGCATAATGCATTAGGCTGTAAATGTTGAGCTCTTTCTACATATGGATGAAGACTTCATTGACGGACACGCAGAGCAAGTTGGACATGCATGGATGGAGATAAATGTGTTCTTTAAAAAAATCTTCAGGGATGGCTGTTCTTCTCAAATCACTCTAAATGTTGGAATAAATAAGGAAGCATGTTTGGGTACTGAAAGCTGGAACTGCTTATAAAACAGCCTCATGTTGCTAAAACAACCTTCACCAAAATTGATTGTTTAATAATTCATTAATAGATGTATTTATTTTGTATTTATTTAAACAAAGATGATATGTTCGGGTATTAGGGCCAGGCTAGAGATTTTTTTTTTCTATTTCGAGAATAAAGTCATAAAATTACAAGAATAAAGTCGTAACATTACGAGAATGAAGTCATCATACAAAAGCCCGTTTCAGAAAGAAAGGTTCGAGCTCTGACCAGCAGATGGCGGCCGACCAGCTCCACCAATCAGCAACCACTTTGACATCCTGCCCAGTTTGATGCTGCTGCTAAAAGATTTCCTGATTTGTCAAACCGATGCTAAAGTAGAACTTCGCACGATGCTCCATATTCCTCATTTTAGGGAAGAAAGTGCTTCTTGAAAGAGTTGTCATAAAATACAACCTTTTTCTCCTAATTTTCCGACTTTATACTCATCATTTTACAACTTTATTCTCGCAATTTTACCACTTTATTCTCGCAATTTTATGACTTTATTCTCGTAACTTTACGACTTTATTCTTGTAATGTTACCACTTTATTCTCTGAATTTTACGACTTTATTCTCACAATTTTATGACTTTATTCTTGTAACTTTACAACTTTATTCTCGTAATTTTACCACTTTATTCTCGTAATTTTACCAATTTATTCTCGCAATTTTACCACTTTATTCTCGCAATTTTATGACTTTATTCTCGTAACTTTACGACTTTATTCTTGTAATGTTACCACTTTATTCTCGGAATTTTACGACTTTATTCTCACAATTTTATGACTTTATTCTTGTAACTTTACGACTTTATTCTCGTAATGTTACCACTTCATTCACGTTATTTTACAACTTAAATCTCGCAATTTTCTGACTTTATTCTCGTAACTTTACGACTTTATTCTCGTAATGTTACCACTTTATTCACGTTATTTTACAACTTAATTCTCGCAATTTTCTGACTTTATTCTCGTAACTTTACGACTTTATTCTGGTAATGTTACCACTTTATTCTCATAATTTTATGACTATTCTCGTTGTGAATTTATTCTCGTATTTTATGACTTTATTATCGAAATAGAAGAAATTAAATCTCTAGCCTGGCGCTAATGCTCCGTCATAGATATGCTCCTTGAGATGATACCATCTCGTTTTCAAAGGGGGTCCATAAATAGAAGAAAAAACAGGAAAATATAATAAAAAAATAGATCCAGCAGATAAACAGATGGACGAATGCAGCCTTTTCTTCCCATGACTTCTCAATCTGCTGGTCCAAAGTGCTCCACTATCAGATTCCATAACACAGATGGAGACTTTTAAATTTTGAGGAGTGCTGTGTTTCCAGTGGCCTTCTGGTGCGCTAAACCTGGAAATTACAAGTAGGCTATAGCTCCCCTAGTGGCTAAAAGCTATGCAGTGTTGATTTAAAAGTTAAGACAATTAACAATTAATATTCCTGGATGATTCAGAAATTTCTATTACTGCATTTTGATAACCTTGCCTGCAGAATGAATTCTCACGTTCACAAACACACTAGAATTAATCTTGCAGTGCTGCAACATAAACCATTCAAACCCAATGTAATACAGGTGGGTTGAGGTTGTTGCAGTATTATGGCTTAACTAGCATATATTTGTATTTCAAACTGATAGCAGTTAGACATACAAAAGAGCTGCTGAGCCCAAAGCTAAACCGAAATATACTGGCAGCTTAGGAAGATGTAGCTGTTTGGTTAAAATGTTGGATTTTAATTTAAAAAATAAGGAACAGTAAGAGCATAAATGAATGTTGTTTTGGTTTCTCATTATGTATGATGCTATTTAATTTGTTACCATGAATGGCTAAAACAAATATATAAACACTATCTGTCTGTGTATCTGTCTGTCTGTATGAAACAATAATTTAAGGCAAAACATGCTCTGGGTAAATGCTCCTTCAAAAGCAGGTGATTTCAGAATAAATAAATCATTCAAAACCTGCTGCGCAGAGACTTTTGTGCAGGTGTGAGGTTCACGCTTTAAAATTAGTGATTAATTCCACTGACATGGCCCCTGCCAATGATCAAAATATCAGACGGCTTTGAAAAAAGGCAAAGCAAGTGAAGGGGAAATGGTCTTTAGAAGCCAAGCATTCTCAATCGATCATTAGTTACCGCTTTGTCAGTGGTATTAATCACAGAGCTGTTGCAGTGCGAAACACAGACTCACATGTCCTCAAGTTACCAGAACACAGCCAGGGAGACTTTGGTGCAAGTTATTTATTTATTTATTTATATATTTTTATGGGGGGTTGTGGGGTGGGGGGGGGACTCCAACCTGCACTAATAAAGCAAAGTCCTCATCCATAACACTATGACTTTCTTAGGAGATTATCTGAGGAAAATTAGAAACATTACATCATTCCTAATGTTTGATGTACTTTCAGTTCTTAGGATCTTCACATCCTGGATTAAGATCAAACTACACCCTCCTTGACCAGCAGATATTGGAAAATAGATAGATGGAGCACATTTTGAATAAAAAATACATCTTCTGCTGAAGGCAATATTGGTGCTGTTGTGCCCACATTATTCACCAAATATGCTTTTGTCTCCTGTTGTCTGTTACCCAGAGTTTCCGTGATGATCCAGTGAAATTCCTGGAAGGCACATCCAGGATTACATACCAGTGTCCTTCGTCTAGAAAACTCCACCTCAGGACTCAACTATGTACCATAAGATTCTACCATTCTGACACACTAATCCCAACGTCAGTCTTTTAACCTATTTTCATACACTTCATGCAAATAAATATAATAAGGCCATATACTGTCATGATCTGGCCTGTTTGCTCTCCCTTAATTAGTAATTCCTCTCACCTGTCCTCTTCCTTCCCTGCCTCAAT